GTCTCCCGTGTCCCCCTCAGCTCAGTCTCCCGTGTCCCCCTCAGCTCAGTCTCCCGTGTCCCTTTCAGCTCAGTCTCCCGTGTCCCTTTCAGCTCAGTCTCCCGTGTCCCTTTCAGCTCAGTCTCCCGTGTCCCTTTCAGTTCAGGCCCCAGAGCCACCCGTGTCCCTTTCAGTTCAGGCCCCAGAGCCACCCGTGTCCCTTCCAGTGCCGCCTGTAGCGCAGGCCCCAGTAGCTCCAGTGCCGCCTGTAGCGCAGGCCCCAGTAGCTCCGGCTCCAGTATCCCCGGTTTCACTCATTCACTCCATGCAGGGAGAAAGTCTAATATCACCTCAAGGGGCTTTTCGCGGTTCAGCCGCCATTGGCACAGTTTGCCGCTCCAGGGCTTCCCCAGAGGCTAGGTCTCAGTCCCCAGCTGATTCTGGACCCCTGAAGTCTATGCAGCCACCTGAGAACTGCACCATGTCAGCGTTGCCTGGGCAGAGCCAGTGCTCAGTGCATTGCCAGTTGCCTTCGTGTTTGCCAGAAGACTCCATGACTGCTGGCTTAGTGTTGACTTCTGCTGGAGGGTCCGAGGGACCGCTCCGGCCTTTGTCTCTAGTCTCCGCTGGAGGGTCCGGGGGACCGCTCCGGCCTTTGTCTCTAGTCTCCGCTGGAGGGTCCGAGGGACCGCTCCGGCCTTCGTCTCCTGTCTCCGCTGGAGGGTCCGAAGGACCGCTCCGGTTTTCGTCTCATGTCTCCGCTGGAGGGCCCGAGGAGCCCATCCAGCTTCCTACCTCATCAGCTGGGGGGCCCGAGGAGCCCGTCCAGCCGCCTGCTGCAGCTTCATCATCCTCCTCGCCGGCTGCAGCTTCATCATCAGCCTCGTCTGGTCCAGCCTCAGAGCCTTCATCCTCGCCTGGTCCAGCTTCATCCGAGTCTTCATCCTCGCCTGGTCCAGCCTCAGAGCCTTCATCCTCGCCTGGTCCAGCTTCATCCGAGTCTTCATCCTCGCCTGGTCCAGCTTCATCAGAGTCTTCATCCTCGCCTGGTCCAGCTTCTGCCTGTGCTTCGCCTGGCCCAGCTTCTGCCTGTGCTTCGCCTGGCCCAGCTTCTGCCTGTGCTTCGCCTGGCCCAGCTTCTGCCTGTGCTTCGCTTGGTCCAGCTTCAGCTTCAGCTCCAGCCTCGCCTGGTCCAGTTTCATCCTCGCCTGGTCTAGCTTCAGCTTCAGCTCCAGCCTCGCCTGGTCCAGTTTCATCCTCGCCTGGTCTAGCTTCAGCTTCAGCTCCAGCTTCGCCTGGTCCAATTTCATCCTCGCCTGGTTCAGCTTCAGCTTCGTCCTTGCCTGGTTCGGCTTCAGCTTCGTCCTCGCCTGGCCCGGCTTCATCATCTCCGCCTGGCCCGGCTTCATCATCTCCGCCTGCTGTGGCCTCAGCCTCGCCTGGCCCGGCCTCGTTTGGGTCTAGAGCTAAGCGGCCGTTTTCTAGACCGCTGGCTAGGCTACTGGCCGGCCACCATCGCCTGAGTGGCCGCCGTTGCCTTCCGCGCGGCCGGCCCCCGGACCGCCATCGCCTGAGTGGCCGCCGTTGCCTTCCGCACGGCCGGCCCCCGGACCCTCTTCGCCTGAGTGGCCGCCGTTGCCCTCCGCGCGGCCGGCCCCCGGACCGCCATCGCCTGAGTGGCCTCCGTTGCCTTCCGCACGGCCGGCCCCCGGACCCTCTTCGCCTGAGTGGCCGCCGTTGCCTTCCGCACGGCCGGCCCCCGGACCGCCATCGCCAGAGCGGCCGCCGTTGCCTTCCGCACGGCCGGCCCCCTGGACCTTTCTGTTTTGGACTCCTGTGCTGTCGGCCCCCTGGCCGGCCCCCTGGTCTTTTCTGTTTTGGACTCGGTTTTCCTGTGCTTTGGTGTGCTTTTCTTTTGGTTTTGGACTTGTGTTTTGTTTTTCTTTTTGTCTTCTGGCCTTCTGGTGCTCCTGTTTTGTTTTGCCTCGAGCCCTCCGTCCTGGACCCACTCCGCCCGCCCTGGTCGGGTTGTTTTCTGTTTTTTTTGTTTTGTTTTTGGGCTGTCGGGAGCCAGCCCTTGAGGGGGGGGGGGGGGTTCTGTCATGATCCTGGGTCCTTTTGACCCAGCATTTTGTGTTTTCTCTTCGATTTTGGTTCTGTTCTTCCTTTGTTTAGTGTTTACTCTGTTCTGCCCGTGTGTTCCTGTTTTATTGTGAAGGTCTGCGTCTTATGTGAGTGTTTTCAGTTTGCCTCCCTAGTCTCGTTATGTTAATCACTCCCAGCTGTGTTTCCCACCTGTGTGTAATCTCCCTGTGTTCTCTGAGTGTATTTAAGTTGTATTTTCTGTCTTAGTAATTGCTGGTTCGTCTGTGTTGTTTCCCCTTGGTCTCCCTGCGTCTTCCCATTTGTATTTCTCCGGACCTCCCTGCATCCTCATTCTGGTTTGTCTTATTAGTTTACCCAGTTTAGGTTTCCAGTTTCATGTTTTGTCGCCACCGCTGTTTGTACTTACCCACCCCTGTTAATAAACACTCACCTGCACCAGAGCTGCTGCCTTTTGGGTCCTTCCTACATTCCACACGGCTTGCCCCGGCAATCCGTGACAGAAGCCACTGTGAGACCTTGCCCCATCCTATCATGTCAGGATGGGGCAAGGTGTGGCTGCGTGATTTGCCACCCATATGGGCGTCATGGGAGTTTGCTGTTCTGATTCCTTGTTGTGGTCCAACACCGTGAAGAAAGAAGTTAAAATCTTAATAAAAAAGAATGAACAAAAATTTGCAGTCCAAACAGATGGCGGGTGGCATGAGCAGAGTTTGACATCCACAGTTCAGTTGTTGGTAGTCAGACACTGGAGACAGCACAGCCACATAACACATAAGAACAACTGCAAAATGAGACGGAGTACAATACGACGCAAAGCTGGAAAACGGAGACGGCTAAAGTACAGCTCATGAACGAAAGTTGTCTGATACTCGCATACTTGAAATAGGCAGTGGCCATGTGAACATGAAGCCTTACTGGAGAGGGTCATGAGCTTAAGGTTTTCGGGGGTTTTGCTGTCTGTGGGAGATTTGGTTCTGTTAGGGTCATCAGGCTGGTCTTGGAGACAGGGTGAGGAGCTCAAACTAGAACTGCTCATTTTCATTTTACTGTAAGGGGATTTAGGCATCTGATCAGGATCTACTGATATGTGTGACATCCTCCCAAAGGAGGTTGATGTTTTTGGATGCATGGGCACCTAGACTAACTTGTTTAGTCTGCTGACTCCCAAACCTGAGCTTTGATGAGGTCTAGGACTGAAGTCAGGCTTTAAGTTCTGGCTCACGGTCCGGTTTCTGCCAAAGGTGTTGAAAAGGGGTGAGGTAACAGACTTGGTTCAGACAAACACCAAACTGGCAAAACTGCTGGTTTAGAGGAATACTGCTGTGAAGTAAAGTTTCCTTTCATTGGAGCTAACTTGTCCAAACCAACAAAAGTAGTCCAGACCAATAAGTGGGCTGTGGTATCCTGTTCCTAAAGAGCCCAATCTCCATCTCCCCCCATTTTCTTCCTCTCACTTCTGTACTGTGAAAAAGAGACCGTGGATTATCTGTCTGCTACAGTACACTGAGGAAAATAGAAAAGAGGTAATAGAAGCACACGGAGTAGAAAATGGGAGATTCGTTGTGCTGAGGTTGTGAAAATAACAGGAAGGGGAGAAAATGTAAAAGCGAGGGCAGCACTGAAAAACCGAAGCAACATAAGAGAAGGTGACAGTCAGTCAGAGTGTTAGGTTAAAAAAGAGGACGAAGGGAGAGAGCTGGAGGTAGATTATGACTGGGCACAATCCTCAGCCCTCCTCACCTCTTTTGATCCACATGCTATCCACGATTACTGAATTCCTGCTTTTTCACTCGGCTGAATGCTGCGATGATTTGCTGACATCTCTCGAACACATTCCTCTCAAACAAAGTCTCAGCTTTCTCCGTCTGCCCGTCCACCCACTCTGCTGAATGGTCTGTGAATATGCAGCATGTGTGGGCTGCAGCCAGGCTCGGGGTTACATTTCAAATGGCCAAAGTACTTAAGGAGCGCTTGATTTTTGGCTGCAGTAAGCACACAGTTGGTTAGACAGACTGTCCCTGAAATATAACTTTGAGGGCTCGATCTGTGCAAGCAACCAATCTGCACCCACCACAGACCTCAAAGTCCGATTGATTAGAAATCTGCACGCCATTAAAATGGTGTGGGAAACTTTCTTAAACAAGCAGCAAACACTTTGAGAAATAGAAGATTGTGTTACTCGTCTGGCACTCTGTTCAGTGTGTCCATGTCTTCATGTCCAATGCATGCTGGGATAGGCTTCAGCTCATTACAAGCCAGAAATGGATAAGCACTTCAGGCACTTGGGTTGAACCTTGATCACATAACTGTTAGTATAAAAACCCAAAACTGAGCCGGACGGATGCAGCCAGGTCTGCTGCGTCAGACTGGTATCAAGCATAAACACAGTAAGCCAGAGTTACTCCAACCCTGAGAGTACATTTTACATCTGCGGTATGGAGCTGAAGTACCAACCAGGCAAAGTAGCTTAGTGCTGGAGGATCTCACATTTACCGTCTCGGACTCCAGACTTATTTGTACCTGTTAAACAGGACACCATCTTCAGAGAGCTTTTTTCCTGCTTTTTGTGGATTTCTACCCTTTCACACACACACACACACACACACACACACACACACACACACACACACACACACACACACACACACAGGAGGTGTTGGCGATATAAGTCACGCAGAAACATGCTAACATCAGACTGTGATCAGTGTAACGGTGTAAAGATTGACATGTGAGCTTAAAATATGACATCATTATATGAATAATATATATTCTTTCATTTCTTTTACTTTATTTTGAAAAATTTTTTTTATACTTTGCGATTATTTTTTCTAAAATAAAAAAATCTTTAAGCATTAACCAGTGTAAAGATTTCATTGTGTTTATCAGACTAAAAATCTTTCCTCCTCTCCTCCCAGGCGTCTTCCCAGTGAGCAACGCAACCCTCAATAATAACTGTGACCCATCTGCGCTGGGCTGCCCAGGTACGAAACGATCACACTCTTTGACACAATTGCTGAAAAGACCGCTTTCCCCCCGTGAACGTCCTCTGTTGTTGTTTGTTGTGTGTGATGTTCACGGCCAGACTTGCACTGAGCATTTGAGCATTTTTATTGTAAAGAAAAAAGTGTTGCCAGGAATCTTTAATAAGTAAATTCAATTAGTTTGTTAAATCGAAGTTTATCAAACGATAATGTATTACTGTCTGTGGTCATGCATACTCTTCTTCTTGGACCAAAGAACCAGAAACAAAAAGACAAATACCCTGTTCTTCTAACAGAAATTTTGAACTGATGGAGTTACAGATAACATCAGTATGTTGGGTAACGCCAACTACTGGAGATTATGTATCGGAATTTCAGGAGCAGGACCACGCTTCCAAACACGCTCCTTCCGGTTGTCATCTACTGTATATAGGCTCCCCCAGTTCTGCAAGCTGTTCATTCTTGTTTACGTGCCCCACCCTCCCTCCCTGTTCTCAATTCTTTAACTTCTTCATTTCTATTTAGTGTATGGGGATCTGCCAGGCCCGGGAGCCATTGCCAGTCCCCTTCGAGGCCTTCCCCAAACCGCAGCTCAATTCATGTCAAAGCATTCACTTTTACCTACCAAAACACTGTCAAACCTAAAATGAGGACGTGGGCCCAGCTAGTGAAATCATATGTAAAACACAAATGACAACAAACATTTTTGATCAGTTCTTCCTTTAAATGAAAACATCTTTTCACAAAATTGCTTCAGAGTCTGCATAATTTCATACATTTTTATTATGAAGTAAAAATGGTAAAAGACTATTGCAGGTAGGTCTCCGTAGGTCTCACAACAAAATCAGCTGTAAGATTTTGTCTTAATGAGTCACTGACTTTACCTTTTCTGTTACATCTGGTTGCTTAATCCAGATCACAGTGACAGACACACTCACACCAGTCAAAGTTCATTAGAGCTTAGACAGAAGTGAAGAACACAAAAGTGAATCTAGCACAACATTAACCTTTTCAGATAAATATTTGCTCAGAACAGCTGATTGGCAGATACCAAGAATAAATTATGGGGTTCTTTAAACATGGGGTTTGTGCCATTGCATCGCATCTCCTTGGTTGCATTGATGTCTTTTCCCTCTGACATTAGTGCTGTCAAAACTGTCAAATATCTATTAGTCTCTGTTCTTAGTCAGCTCTTCACACTGTGTTACAGTTTGGTGAAAAATGCAAGGGCTGTAAGGACCTCAGAGGAAGTAAGAAGGGAAAAGAGTTTTGACCATGAAAAAGTGACAGTTTGAGTGTTTGAAGGCGAATGGAATATATACAAGAGCTATAGTGCTGGGGCTGAACCTGACAGTGTATACACTTTGAACTGTTCAAGTACAGAAGGCATTGTACAGCCTTGACATCTATATAAAAGTTTTCCTCAGTGACCACATGAACTTTTTATAAAGGTAAACCAAGTGCATCGGTGCCTACACTTCTTATTCAGCTTCACACTATGATGGTTTTTTCTGTCAAGCTTTGCTTTCCACCTTGTGAAGAAGTGTCTAAGGGTCAGGTTTTTTGGGAATGTGCTCATAAGAGAAAGACGCTTAATTGAATTTAGAACATCCTGTTAAGAAAAACTTTCTAAATGAAAGCAGGCTCAGGTTTGGATCGAGATCCTTGGCTTTCCCCAAAGCCCTGAACATATTCTAGCCTTTAAGCATTCCCAGTGCTGTCACACTGCTCTGAACAGTGAAGAGATGCTAGTTTGTTCAAGGATGAATCTGGCAAGAGGTGAGAAGATCAATATAATTGTGATCAACAACTTTGTTTGTGGTGTTTCTAGAGAACCGCATTTAATGATACTGCAGGCCGGTCACATTCTGGTGATGTCAGAGTTTTGGAATTTGGAAGCCAACGCTGCATAATTTGAAGAGCACAGCTTGTCCTTACCTAAACCTGCAATAAACCTTATGAACTTCTTCACGCTGTCATTGACTTTGACAGTTTTTGTGATACAAACCTCGTTCTCCCGGGTCAAACGCCTGTGCTTGACTCCTTTGTCCAGGGTTTATTGTACTTCCTAAAGCTTTTCTGCCAGAAAACCCTCAGTGACCTCCTGATCATCACATCTGTGTTTGCTGTTAGGTCCTTCTGTTACTGACTGGTGCATAACTGTTAGTTGGGACATGAAGAAAACAGTTACAAATTAAAATTTCCAACATTTACACTGAAGATTTGGTGAATACACAAAAAGAAGATGAATTTTGGGTCAGTTTTCTTATTTAAAGCAAACATATGAGAAAAGAGAAAGTCGTGCAGATTGCAAAACCCTTTGATTTATGGTTTTGGGCTTCATATGTGACATTAATGAGCCTGGACAAGAAAAGAAAGCAAAAGGGAATGGAATCTCAGTCAGATTCATTCAAATGAGGACATTCTTGAAATGGAGACAGATGCTTCACTCTGCTTTATTCATTTAATCAGCCTTCATAAGTTCAAGTGGCTGATAAAGGAGGAAAGAATAAAAATGGGCATTTGGCCCATGTCACCTACTCTCACCAGTCTACGTGGATCTGCCAAGAATCTATCCAGGAATGCTCGGTTAATTACATTTTCTAATTCCAAAGTAGATCATACCCGAAGAAACAAAATAACGTTTTTAAAGCTATATCCCCCAGGGTGCCGTTCAGCTGCTGCCATAGCCATTAAAACTGGAATGCTGTCCCTGCACAGATTGTGGCCCTCGAGGAAAATGGACCTCCACCAGTTTCTTTTGCTCAAAGAGGTCACATGATCCAAGACTTACCAGTGAGCTCTGGTCAGAACAGTAGCTGTGGGCCAACTAGTAATGTGACCCAATTGACCCAATGTGAAATGTCAGTTCTCACACTGTCCAGAACTATGGAAGCCTCAGAGGGACATACTGTATTTCTAAAGGTCAGTTTTTGTGCGATTGCGCCATGAGAGCATGGAAGTGAAGCCAATTAAACTACAGTTTGTGTTGCAGGATAGAAATTAAGAGCACAGACAGCTCAACAAGCCATTAGAAAGGGTGATAATATAATAACTCGTAAGCTCGATGGAACAAAGAATAAATGGTCAGCTGAAGAGTAGAGCTGTTAGAAAGTTAAGGTGGTGGTCTGAGGAGTGAAGAAGGCCTGAGTGGGTGTGCTTCAGTGGGTGAAGCTAATTCAGGTGTAGCTGTCCTGAAAAACATAACTCTGACTTCTGTTCGGGAGATGTAGGTGGAAGAAGTTAAATGGAACCACAAGTGAGTGAGCAGCATTGTCTTTTTTTTCCCAAACACATTTGACTTCACTTTAACTCTGAAGCACAAACTTCTTTTCATGAGTAGACTTTATCACCTCTTGTTTCAGTCCACCTCTGAAATCCCTTTGATGGTACAGAATTCATTGTTTCAAAACCTCATCTGTGACCATGCTTAGACTCAAGCCTTTCCACATGACATAATCAAACTTAATCTGTGTAAACCGTCTCATGGCTTTAAACCCTTTGGTCAACAAGAGCTTGGAGAAACTCTGGAGACTGAGCTGTGTATGTCAGCTTGACGATGGCAGGAGAGGAAGCTCGGGACAAAATAAAAATAAAAAACCGGACTGTGTGGTAAGTTTTGACAGCAGCCACAGTCTCAGCTGTTAAATCCACATCACTTATTGGTTGGTTGCTGCTGGTTAGTGTGATTATGTTGTAAGCGGTACACAGACCCACACAGTCAGCTTTGATTAAAAAAAGAGAGCTTTTATCATTATGACTACATAACTGTTGAATAATTTGCATTCTTTATTAACGATGCTGAGAACACTTGAGAAGCCCAGATCCAATACCCCTACTGTGTACATTTAAGATGTTCATTCCTCATCACATCCATTTATCATCCTTTGCATCTGTTTCTCTCTCATCCCATCACATTGTCACTACCACCAGCTGTTTCCTCTCCTGCCACCTCATCCACTGACTCCACTAACACCATCTACACTACTAATGCCAACACCCACGGTAAGCAACCCTCCTCTTCATGCAGCCTCTGTCCTTCCTTTCCATCTTCACCTTCTCCACTTCTCTGTGCCATTTTTGTTCCCCTCAGTGCTTTTGCTTTATCATCACCTCGCGGTTCCTCCCCCTACTTTCCCTTCTTCCTTCCATCTTTTTTTTAAATGATTATTAAACATTTTTGGTTGGTTTTAAGCTTCTGGATTTTTCAGTCAAATACCTTTTCTGTAGAGGCTTCCCCTTTTTTCTTCTGTTTCATCTAACTCTAATTTAGGATAAACTTTTTAGGGTTCATCCAACATCCACAAAGAAAGACCTTTTTTATGGAACTCAGTTATAGTTCATCACCACAAAGCCGTTATTCTTAATGGTTTTCAGAGAGATTTCCCTCATAAAAATCTCAAACCTTTTTAGCTCTGCCATATTTGACCTTCCAGGAAGCCATGAAAAGTAGCTTGAAGCTATTTTGCCCCTCTAAGATCAGTTTGGTCATTCTCTTATTCATTAACTACCTGTGAGAATACTCAACTAATTCAGCTCTGATGAACCCGTCCGCTTGACAGACGAGTAAATTATCTAATGCTGCGTTTGAAGACGGAGTTCATCAAACTTTTCATTAGTCAATTAACCTTTCTGTCGTCCTTTTTCCAACTGAAAAGTTGTAGCTCTAAATGAACTTTCCCAGGAATTTATGAAAAATCAGCTCTCTGTGTTTGATTAGGATAATAAGAACTTTTCATTCTTAATGGAATTTTAATGAAGCACCGATATGTGCTGCTTACATTATATATATCTGTTTGTAATATGTGCATGTGAGAGTTTTAGACCTTCTGGAACATTTGCACTCAAACTGGGCTTTGGGAAAAAGCACACGCTCAAGCTAGCATTAAAACCACTTTGTTTTTGCATGTGTCATCCTCTCGTCCTGCCTTATCCTTTGATTTGTCATCATCAGTCCTCTCTACCATCACTCCATCTCCCAGCATTCTCTCCACTCGCAT